GCTGAAACACTGAGCAGCAGAATTAACAGTGGGACTCCCTACCCACCTTTGATCCAGGTTCCTTTCATTTGCAGTTCAAAGTGTCTTTAATTGGTGTATATTTTAAAAAGCACAGCCCATTACAGCACTAAGATATCCACAAAAAGGACTTGATTAAAATGTTTATGGTAGCGCTATGCGTAATGGTGCCAGGCCAGAAATAGCTAACATGTCCACCCACAGAATGGATAAACAAACTGTGGTACGTCCGCACGGTGGAACCCCCTCAGCAACGCAAGGAGCGGACGACGGGTGTGTGCCGCCTCGTGGAGGGATCTCAGGTGCTTTCTGCCCAGAGAAAGGTGTCCTCCGGAAAGACTACACACTGTGTGATGTCAGGTATTGAAACTTCCCGAGCGGCCAACCCGATCTAGGTTTTAAAAACTCAGGACACTCGATGTTTCTGGGGCTGCAGGGTGGAGAGTAACCAAGGCGGGGCCTGAGGCAGCTTTCTGGGGTGCTGGTCCTGCTCTGTTACCCAATAGCAGCTAGAATTTCCCAGGTGAACACACATGTTACTGCGACTATTTGTGCCCTCAGCAAGCGAGGCACTTGCACGCTTGCTTATTTCAGGGCGAATTGCGCTGTAACACCTAGAAATGTACCCCAAAATACGGTCAGCCTTTGGATGGTAGAGCGGTGGGTAGGCGGAAGGAGATCCGGTGACGTGTAATGAACTGTTCACGGCAGAAGTGGCAGGACGTGATCGGTCACTGTACAATACCTTTAATGCCTCTGCGTGGTGCAGCTTCTCATCATAAAAAGCGGGGGACATCGATGGAGGCTTGGCACACTTGTTGATAACGTGTCCCACAGTGGACCCTGCAACTGTGTCTGTCCTACGGCAAAGGCGGTTTTATGGAAATGGGATCCGGATCTTGGAGTCTGGATGAGTCAGAGCGGAGCTGGCCTTTTGGGGACTGAAAGGTTTACGCGCCGCTTTGTGTGACGTGGGGCCGGGGTGGGGGGACAGGCCCCGCCGACAGGCTCCGAGGGGCACGTCCGCCGCCCGCGAGCGTGGCCGCGAGGCCCAGGGAGCCCGTTGTGCGCCTGGGCCCTCAGGGCTCGTTGCCTCGGGAGCGTCGCCGGGCAGCCCTGCAGCGCAGCCCGAGGTCCTCGCGCGGGCGCCGCCCGGGGAGCCCCCGCCTCTCCTCTGCCGTGAGAACTGCCGCCTTCCGTGGCGCAAACAAAGGCCGGCGGAAGGCTCTGGAGCTCAGCGCTGCCCTTCCCGGGCCCCGGGCGGATACAGACTGTGTTTCCGGAGCCTCTGGTTTATTTGTGCAAAAAGTGCAGTAACGGGGCTGCAGTTCATGAGACCGACGTGCAAAGCCCCTGGGAGCCTCCGATCTTGGTCCGGAGCTGTTTGCCTTCACCCTGCAAGGTGCAGCAGCAACGGCCTAGACGCGAAGGAAGAGGAAGACCCCCGTGCCAGCTCTGCCGGCCCCAGGACCGTCCCGTGCGCAGCCTCCCGCCCCCTGCCCCAGCGACGCCGCGCCCTCGGACTGCGGGAGACGGAGGCGCTGTCCCTCGGAAGCACGCGGGTCCCCGGCGGACAGAACCGGACCCCGCGCTGAGCACCCAGCCGTGGCCGACAGCCCCGCCCCTCTTCTGGGCGGGGTTACGAGCGTGTGTCGGTAGGCTCTCATCATGCACAGCTGCGCAGCGATGCCCTTTGTGAAACATTGTGACACGTCACCCCTAGGCGTGGTGTTTCTCCGCACCTCCGGCCCCGAGCCGCGTCCGCAACCGCAGTCCCCCTCCCTGCCACGCGCCACGCTGGCCGGCGCGGGTCCTGCCGGCCCCTCCTCCGCGCCGCTCAGCCGCGCCCTTTCGGCTTCATTTCTGCCGGACCTCGCTGTCCGAGAGGCCCGGCGCATGGGCCCGGTGGGCAGACCACGTTCATGATCGGCCCGCGCCTGGCTCCCTCCTGCCTTCCCCGTCTGCTCATCCTGCCTCCCGCCCGCCTCGCTAGCACTAGGCGTGTGAGAACCAGCCGGGTTGTCCTTGCCTATCGAGACCACTGGCTCTTGACCTTACTGGAGAGGAGCCTCTGTACGCAGTTAAAAATTACTGAGAACCCCGAAAAGCAGCCGTGTGTAGGGGTTTTACACACCGGGGTTTACATAGCACCGGAGATCAAGACTGATCATTTTCAAAAATAATTTTACAGTCACTAGTACTAACAATCCGTTTAAATGAACAGAAGAAGCTTGTTACGTGTTAACAGACGCGCTGTAGTTCGTGAGAAGTGACTGTTTTCCAGGCCAAAGCAAATTCAGCGAGAAGAGCTGCCGCTCTGCGCTTCTGCCGACCCGGTGGGCCGGAAGGCCCTGGCTCGCGGTGCTGCGGCGGCATCAGCGCTGATTCGACTTGTCGCTGCGGCAGAAGGGCATCTGGCCTCACAGGCGGAGGCGACCAGAGACGGGGGACCGGCTGGGGTGCCCTGGGGTCCTTGGCCAGCCGGCGAGACCACGGGCCGCGGTGGGGGACTCGTAGCTGACAGCCTCCCCGTTTCCCGCCCCCGTCCCCCAACTTGCGTGTCTGCCCAACCGTCGCTGCTCCCCAGCCCAAGCCAGCAGCTGCTGGGGACCGCGTCCCGGGACACTCGGCAGCTCCTTCCTGACGTTTAGCCCCACGAGCGCCGCCGTGTCGGCAGCGTCCAGGGCGCGCCTGCTCACACCCCGCCGCGTCTGTGGGCGCCCCTTTCCATCGGGAAGGACAACCGCGACCTAGACAGGCAGGCCCCTGTGCTCAGGGGAAGGCAGATGAAAGATAAACAAAAACGTCAGCAAGACCCTTCAGTTCGTAATCTGTGCTCTGAGGAAACAAAAATAAGGTGCTGAGGAAGGCACCCAAGAGGGCGCCAGCTCCATGTGGGAGTGTCCGGCTGTCCCCGCTGCCGTGACGTGGGAGGTGTCCTCGGCGCCACGTGGGAGACGCAGGGCACTCAGCAGGATCCCAGCGCACGCTGGTCAAGCAAACGCGAAAGGAAATGGAACGTCCCAGCAGTCCCGCTGCTGGGTACAGACCCAAAAATAATCGATGGTGGCAGGGGACAGTTCTCTCATGAGAACCTGACCACACCAGCCCCACTGGACGGGGACCCACCCTGAGCTTGACGCCCTCTGTCCGTGGGAGGTCCCCCGCTGAGGTCCTGCGGGTTGGGAGTTCAGCCTGTGACCTCGGAGGAAACTGCCGTTCAAGCCACGCTAGCAGCTCTTTGTGTTGTTTCCCGGGGCGCGAATCCTGAGGGTCAGGCTGAGCTCCTCCGCGGGGGCGGCCTCACTGGGTCGGCGGTCAGCAGAGCCAGGCCCCGCCGCCGCCCCGCGGCGACCATCCCGGCAGCTTCTGGAAGCTCGGTGGCTTTGAGAAGCATCTGGAAAAAGCATTTCCCATGGGGATCAGAGCCGGCCCCAAGATCGATGGCTTGCAGGGTGGAAATTCGGCTTCTGTGTTCGAGATGTGTACTGAACGTTGATTTTCCTCAGGGCCCAGCCTCGCGTCGCGGTGCGCCTGCGGCACGCGCCGTTTGGAAAGCGGGGGAAGGTTTGCGGTTCTAACCCCTGAAAGCCGGACAGGAGCATCGGCTCCACGTATGCGGGGCGGGGGCGTGAGCCGCCCGGGTGCCCCAGACTGGACTGGACGTGCCCCCACAGAGGCCCCCACGTGAGTCCCGTGGGGACACAGCCCCGCACGTGGCACGGCGCTCGCCGGGGATGCCGCCGCCCAGCTGATCTGACGAACGAAGCGGCAGCGTCCGTTTCACGCGCCGCCGTCTCTGGGAACCCCGATCGCCTCCCTGGCCACCAGCGGCGGCGGTCCCACGGCTGCGGGGCCGCTAACCTGAGGCCACACCCTGGTGACAGACAGCGAGAGCAGAGGCCAAGCGAGCGACTTCGCCGAGGCCACCGAGCTTGCCGGGCAGAGGCGAGCTGCCTGCCCCTCGCCCACTGCCCGGGCTCCGCCCCAGACGCCAGCGCTGCCAGTTGGCGTCTGACTCCGCTGTGGGTAGCGCTTCCTGTCCCTGCGGAGCTTCTGGTCCCGGCCCCACATCCCTGCCATAGCTAGTTCCTCAGTGTGGATGGGGACGTCCACCGATGTCACGCAGGGAGACACCCCGTTAACAAAATCGGCATTTAAAATCAACGCCTTTCACGCATCTTGGTGGCTCACTGTCCCATCCCACGCAGAGCTGATCCCAGCCACAGCACAGGGCCACCGGAATCCACGTGGGTGTGTGAGCCACCGAGGGCAGGGAACCACCAGTAGCTCCAGTGGGAGCCAGACCCTCTCGCGCGAAGGCCAAATGCAGCAAAGCCCAGCTCCAAGCAAAGTCACATTTTGTGACATTTATCACAGGCAGCACAGATGAAGGTTTCCATGCTGAGACCGTGGGGGCTTGCACATGGTGAGGTGTCTCTGAGCTTCGTCCCTCCGGCAAACCCTAGTCTCCCGGGACCAAGGGGGCAAGTATGTTCGCGAATCCTTTGAACGTGAGACCTGGAGGCGGGGAGCAAAGAATGTGTGCACGCAGCCACTGGCGTCCGCGCCGTCACGTGGAGGCTCCCGGGACGCCTGCCTGTGCGAGGCGGGCGGTGGCCTCTCCCTGCCTCCCACGGTTCCCTCACAGCGCCCGCCCGCCTGCACGCTAGTGTCCTCGGCTCAGCCACGCCTCGCCTTTTACCCGCCCCCAGGGCGTGCCTCCCGCACTCTGGGGGGTTAGCAGGACAGGGGGCGTGCGGGTGAGTGTTTTAAGCTGCTACGCTCCTGAGCTGTGGCTTCGCATGTAAATGAAGGACTCAGGTAGCTCTGCGTGTTCGTGGATGAAAACCGTCTAGCACAGTCCCAGGGTGGCCGACCCCGAGCGCGAGCGAGCAGGCAGGGTCCGCTGGGGCGGCGGCTGCGCGGGCCCCGTGGCAAGCCCGGCGCTAACCTGGGCTCTCTCGCCCGTCTCCCCACAGAGCCAAGGTGAAGAAGGGGGTGAACATCCTGGGCGCCCGGACCAGCGAGCCCCAGCGGTGGGACGTCCGGCAGGAGCTGGCAGACGGCGGGAAGCACGCCACCGCCACCGTGGTGTGCCGGCGCCTGGGGCCCGGCGCACAGGACAGGTAAGCACCGCCGCCCCCGCGGCCGCCACGCGGGGTCCTCGTGGCCCGGTGTCCACCTAGGAGGCCGGGCTGACACTCACATCCACCGCTGCTTAGCAGAGCTGCTACCCCTCAGCCCTCACGCCAGGGCAGCCCCCCGTGGCCCTGGCCGGGTGGCTCCGTGGGTTGGAGCATCGTCCCATACGCCGAAAGGCTGCAGGTTCGATTCCCGGTTCAGGGCGCATGCCCGCGTTGTGGGTTTGATCCCTGGTCCAGCTGCGTATGGAAGGCCACTCATCAATGTTTCTCCCTCCCCCTTCCTCTCTCTCTAAAAGCAATGGAACGATGATTTTGGGGTGAGGATTACAAAAGGCAGGGGGCAGGGCCCCGGCGCAGAGGGTCCGCGGTCCCGGCTTTGGACCAGAGACGCGTTAGCGGGGTTCTACTCTGCTTCGCCAAGGCTCACAGGTTCTCTTCGCCAACACGCGTGCCAAGGCACCTCCCGGTGGCCTCCCTAAGGAGCCGGAGGCGGGCGGCTTGCTCGCCACGCGTGGGTTCTTGGTGCTCAGGGCTGGACTCGTCATCACTGGCGGGGGACGTAAAGGCGGGAGGTGACAGTCGGCGCCAGCGATGAGTAGGGACGGGCTGTGGGGGCCTCTGCATAGACAAGGAGACGGCTGTGCACGCGGTTGCCTCCCGCATCGGCAAGCAGTGCGCGCTCGCTGTACAATGTTAGGAAAGCACAGCCTTGGGCGGCAGGGACGTGAAGCAACATGTCACTGTCTGCGCACCAAGGGCCAGCCGCCGCTGCCGGGCTGGGTCAGGCTCCTCCCACGCTTCATGCGCACACAGCAGCCGTCGTGGCGGCCGTGGAGGGGCGTCGTTCATTTCACGAATTCCGTATCATCGTCTACGTAGAGGTTTAAAATTCTCTTCCTTATATTTGGCTTCTCTGGCCCACGCCTCCTCTTGACACTCAGCGCTCCCCGGACGGTTCCGACGCTGCGTGGCCTTCTCCGGGCAGCGTCAGCGTCGCGAGAACAGCCGCGTCTGCATCGTTGGACGTTCACGCAGGTTTCAGGTCTGAGCCGCATCGACGCTGCGACAGGAGACTACTTTCCACATAAACTTCGCCCACTTTCCGTTTTGCCCCAGGCGCCTTCTTAGAATCAGGAAGTTTCATAGTGTGTAGGGTTGTTTTCCTGAAGGGATTAGCCGCAGGGGACACACTGGCCCTTCAGGGTACACGTTTCCTCACCTGAACGCTGCTCGGGCACCGAGAAAGATTCCGCCCCCTCGTCCTGCGCAGCCAGACAAGCCCCTGGCGCCCCGAACGGCCCCCTAGCCCCAAACCAGCCTCCACCTCCGGGACCTCCCGGGCACCGTGAGGACGCCCTGCGGCAGGAACTGGGTGTCCCAATCAACGGCCAGAGAGCAAGGCACACCCGGTCCCTTTCTGTGCGACAGAGATCGACCCCCAATTAATCTCCGGTGTCAGATGCACATGAAGTTTAATTAACCCACCCGATTCATGGGGGGTTTGCAAATAAAAGAGAACATGTAAATTAACAGACGGTGAGTTTCCGTATGTCAATAGTTCCTCATGTCACTTCCAGAAGGTGTCTCCCAGGGACGGAGGACGCTTTGCTAATAAGCCCTGAACAGTCCCCTTGGCCACCCATTTGCTCTGAGCTTTCCAGACACTGCCTTGGGCGCAGCTGTGTTTTTGGAGGATGTCAACACTCCCGGTGGCTGCCCCCAGGTGCGCCACGTGTCTCGGCAGAGAGAGCCGTGGTCCGATGCTTGTGTTTCCTCCATCTTAACCCCAGAATTGCTGGCCACCGCGGGTCCGAGTCACGGCCCGCAGGGGCGGGGGGCGGGCCTGGCCACCCTCTGCCTATGTGCCTTAGCGCCAGGTCTCTGCAGCTAACGTCCACCTTCGCAGGAGAGGAGGGGACAGAGCAGAGCAGCATCAGGCTGTGCTGACGCTGGCTCAGAGCCACCACGAGAGCCTGTTAGGTTGTGCCTGTCTGTTCCCGGCTCCTCATCAGTGAAATCGGCCCCCGGGGCAGGATTTACACCACAGGAATTGGCAAGCGCCCCAGGCCAGAGCTTTCGTGTATTGAGGGAGAGCCTGGTCGGCACACCACGCGTGCGTGCCCCGCTCACTGCCTTGCTCGCGGGGATCTTCAGAAAACCTTGCTGCCTCCTACAGGGGAGTGCTGTGCTCTCTGCCAGGCAGAGACAACCACTGAATCAGAGCCAGGCTCTGTCCTCCAGGAACCCCAATCCTGGCCCGGGGGCTTTCCTGCCGCACAGACGGCGCCGGTTCCCCGGGACAGGCGGACTGACTCCCTCCTGCCTATAGAGCAGGAGCCAAGAGTACCTGTTACCTACTGCTGTGTAACAAATTACCCCTCAACTCAGAAGTTCAACATAACACACGCTTATTATCTCCCGGTCTCGGGGGTCGGGGATCCACCGGCACCCCTCAGTGGGGGGCCATTCCAGGCTGCAGGTGAGGCGTCGACCAGGACCTGGGGGCTCGCGGGAGGCCCCGCTGGGGAGGGGTGGACTTCCAAGTTCATGGGCTCCTTGGCAGCACTCGGCTGCCGCGCCGAGGGCCTCGATTTCCTGTTTCTTGCCAGGCGTCCTCTGCCGCCCGGGCACGCGTGTGCGGAGAACCAGGGGTCGGGGGGTGCCTGCACGTGGAAGCGGCGAGGTTGTGGAACCGACCCTTGCTCGTGGCTCCGGACACTGGCTGCGTCCCCTCCGGTAGGAGCGAGCCTGGGCCGCACGCAAGGGGAGGGGCTTGCAGGGGCCGGCCCGGACCGGCAACTACCGGCAGGTGGGGGTGGCTGGGAGCTCTCCGGAGCCCTTCGCCACGGCCTGCCTCACCCTGCGCGCCCTTCCGCACCCCGGAGGGCTCGCCTGGCTCTTGCCTAGGACCTCAGGGGCCTGTGTTAGTGACCAGCGGTGCACACTGGCACTTCCTGGGCTGTTTGCCCCCCGCCCCAATCTCCCAACCCGTGTGCCTTTCGTTTACCTCGGGCTGGTCGATTATGACATGCCCGCGCAGGCGAGCGTTCACGGCTGCGCTGAGCGGGCGGCCCGGCTCCGTGAGCGGGAGGGGCTTCTCCGAAGGGCGTCGCTGGAAGGCTGTGGAAAGTGAGAAGCAGGCAGTATCAGGCCACCGGCGGAAACGCGCCCCGAATCATGCCTGCCCCCCCACCGCCGCGCCGGGACCGCTACTTGCTGACAAGTTTCCTTGAAATCAGCTTTAAATAGCTCTGGCTTTTAAAAATTCACCTTCATTTTTAGTAATAATCTCTTCGAAATTATGCATTTAGGGTACTTTTATTATTTTCTAATGTACATTACGCTAAGTACAAAACTGGAAGAGCTATTTCAGATAATTATTCTCGATGATTAGAGCGGGGACATGGTTCAGGCCTATTCTGGCCATAAGAGGAAACATGGCCGAGGGGCTGCGCAGCGTGGGAGCACTGCTCCGCCCAGGCCCCCCGGAGCCCTCCCCCTCCCCCGCCGGCCCCTGGACGGCTTCCGGGCGCGGCCGGGCACGTGAGTCAGGCCAGGCAGCGGTGGCAAAGCGCCACCAGCTGGGGCTTATGCAGCAGGCGTTTGGTCTCCTCCGGCTCCGAGGCTGGGGTCCTGGATCAGACCGAGGGGCCAGCAGGGCGGGTCTGGGGGGGTGACCCCCTTGGCCTTTGCTCTCCGCCCTCACGAGGCTTCGACTCTGTGTCCATTAGAAAAGAGCGCGCCTGCGCTGGCGTCTCCTCCTCTTCTCAGACAGACGCCGGTCCTCAGGTTGCGTGGGACCCCAGGGGGAGGCGCTCATCGTTCCTCGGTGATTTCCTGAAAAGCCCTGCTCCAGGCAGCCACACTGGGGCTAGGGCGTCAACGCGTGGGTCTGGGGGACGGGCTGGGGCCAGTCCACAGTTCAGTCCACAGCAGGCGGCTTTGCGCTGACATCCTGCGGCATGTCTTCCGGAGACGTCCACACGGGTCCGCCCACATCGGCGTCTGTGCCTCCTCTGAGGCCTCCAGGGAGAAGGGACGTGCGTGGCGCGTCTGCGCACGGGGTGCTCTGGCTGTCCGGACCACGCGCTTCCTTGGGCACATCTTCCCCTTCCGACGGCCTGCGGGGGACCCAGCGTGGCAGGGGCCCCGACACCCACCGGCACTCTTTCGGCTAAGACCTGCTTTTGCCCCGGGGCTCAGTCATTCTTGCTTTGACGATGGATATGTCAACCCGAGAGGTCTAAGGTGTGTTGTCATTTGTCACTTCGCTAAGGCACAGTTTTCCTTTCTGCTTTGATGTTTCCTTACTCCTATTTATTTTTGTGAGCGGGGAGGGGAAGTAATGCATTCACACCGTTCTGAACTCAAAATGCAGACAACAGGGCCTGCCCCCCGCTCACCCAGCTCCCTTCCCGGAAGCCATCGGTTTGCCCTTGGATGGAGACCTTTCTGTCACACAGGAGGTGGTTTGCTGCCCACACGTGTCAGAAGCCCGGTTCCTCCTCTCTGGGGGCCTGAGGGCTGCCCGCACTCCCCTGGTTTGAGCCTGGCAGCAGCCGCCAGGCGCCCCCGCGGGCAGGTGGACGGGGGCGGGGCCGTGGGTGCCCGGCCACGGAGAAGTGTTTCTGTCTTTCTCTGAAGGACAATGAGAAGCCTCGAAAGTATTTCAGGCAGGACGGTGGCCCACCCGCCCCTGTGTCAGCCACACTCCGGTGACCATGCAGAGCACAGTGGGGGGCCGTGCCCACCAGATACACGCAGCAAATCAGACTGGCGCGGCCCAGAACAAGGACAGCGGCGCCTCCTGCCCGCTGCCTCTGTCCCGCACCCCCCCCCCTGCGTCTCCGCAAGACCAGAGGCCCCGCCCCCTCCTCCCACAGCCTCCAGCCGCCGAGGGGCCCCAAACATCTTGCAGGACAGCGCCACTCGCTGCTTGGCAAAATCCTCGAGGGTTTTGTCCACTAGAAATCACAGCAGCA